CCATAATGTACATTAATGTACATTAACTTGGATTGTGCAAATAATGTTAATGTGGACTAGTCTTACACTGTAGTTAATGAGTTTATTAACTAATATGTCTTGAAAGCACTGCATTATACAGTTTCCCTAAGAGCTGCTGTTTTTTTAAAGAAACCAAGAAACCCTACTATTCATTGTTAATTTGTAAAGCCACTATATGTCACCAGTATAAGGAAAGGCCAATAATTATTATATTAAAAGCTGAAATAATTAACTTAATATTTATCCCAATTCTGAGCTCTGCTTGAAACATTTTACTGTTAAATATCAAGAGTGATCATAACCATAAAGATTCTGATGTCTCCAAAGACCATGGTAGGATGAATCGTTCTTTGATTATTATTTTATTTTTGTATTACAAGTCCAAACCACAAATGTTTAAATTATTTGCCTTATCTAACATCTACCACAAGCTATCTTTTATGGAGATTTTCAGAAAGATGATGTTATATTATTAATTGGATACATGACAGTTTAAGAAGCTTTACTGGCAGTCCAGTATACTACTACCAATAACACCTCCTTGCATTTATACAGCAGTTTTCATCTCAAGGATCCCAAATCACTTTACATAAAGGAAGGGCCACTTCATCCACCACTGAAATGCAGCATCATCCTAGATGACAAGGAACAGCCATTCTATACCAGCAGCCCCGATTCACAGCAGTTCAGATGGTGATGGAAATGTTGAATGGTGAATCGGAAATGTTGTTACTAATTTAAAGAGGAGCTTTCGGTAAACCAGACTGTGCAAGTCAAGAGTGGAAGTTTACCAGGACAGTTGTTAACACCAAACAGACAAATCCTTGCATTACTGTCCACATTGGGGCTTTGGTGTGGAAATTGTGGTCTAGGGGAAAGAGTGCCACCTACTGGTTTACCTACTTTCTTATAGCTGCAACCTTGTTCTCAGAATCCTCAGAATTGTCTCATCCCAGTTTTCAACAGGCCCTTTCTTGCTAAACTCCTGAGTTCTGACAACGTTGAATTAGAAGGTGGTAAAGCTGCTGTATGCAATGAAATTAGCAAAAGAAAACTTATGCTAATAATATAATTTCATTCAAATTTCAATTTTTTGGAAATAACCAAAATTCCAGATGTTTTTGCATGATATTGTAGGCCAAGTTGCTATGTCAATACACACTAGGCTTTCCAAGATCACTGCAGTCTTAATCTGGTTTGTTAGAGAAGCAGTGAATTAACCTGGTGATTAACCTGAAAATTGATACAAGGCTAGATCAAAGCCATAGTAACAGTCAAACACAAGCAATAGTAAATCACAGTTTTGTATCCTTCCCTCTTACTATTGAGGAAGGAGGTTACGGATCTCGTTTTCTCTAAAACCCTTAATTGAAATTACAAGACTTTCTGAAAGGAAAAAAATAAACTATATGGAATAATTAACATGAAAACACGGGACCACATGTGCAGTAAATGTAAGATATGCACAATATGACCAAACACGAATTGATTCTTGGCTTATTGTTTCAAATTGTAAAGGAGCATCATGTTAACCATCATAAGATGAAATATTATATTGAAGTTGCAGCTATAAGTTAAAAGACTGAATATCCAACTAGAGCCTTTTCATCATAAGGGCCTTTACTGTATTATTTCAGACAAAGATCTTGGTTTGATACTTCTGGTAACAAACACCCTTAAGCAAAATCCAGTTGTTATAGGGATACGTAACCAAACACTAAACTTTTTTTTTATTAATCACATCTAAAAATAAATTAAAAAAAGAACTTGAATAAACTAATTAAAAGCAAACTGCTTTTTTAAAGTACTGTAGCTTGCAATTGCACAATATCTTAAAATCCTCATTTAAACTAACAATAAAAAACAAATACAATAACAAAAAACATACAATTTGCACTAGCTTTAACAGAAAATACTAAAAATAACAACAGATGGAAATAATTGTATTGTTTTTACTTTTTATTTGTCATTAAATTATACTATAAAAGCTTTCCTAATGTTTCAGTAACCACATCCAATAATCATCAGGCACAAGTGCCATGAGAGTCATTGCCAAACTGGTAGCTAAATAACAATTAGCTTCAACTGAATGGTAATACTCACTAGATTTTCACAGTATTTTCTTCATGCAGATTCCATAAAACATAATTTCAGGGTTTCAAGTGTGAGGTGTTCCATCCTCAGTCAAAGTACTCACGTGGTACAAAAAGGTAGCTGTTACAAACATATAACCTAAAACACTCTGGACACCCTTTTAACAAAAACATATTGAATTTGTTATGCAGGAAGACAAGTTATGGTGTGGTCAGTTAGCAAATCTACAAAATATCACACAATATATCTGACCAGACTGATAGCCCATAGAAGATTATAAAAAAAAGGTTTGATAAAGGGGAAGGAAAACACGTTTTAACGGATGCTGACAAAGAGCTTTTTTTCCCCAAAAACAAAGCAAAGAACTGTACGGATAAGCATCTCCAAGCAAATCTTGAGAACTTGATTGTTATGACTATACAGCACATCCATGTCATAGAACTGCCATCAACAAATAACACGTATCACACAGAGCCCATTTCCATGGGACAAGAGCAGAACTCGGTATGTAAAGAACAACATACAATTTAACAATATCATTGCAGAAATGCAAGACAAAAATACCACGTTGAGGAAAAAGAAGTACCATTTCCATACAAACCACAGCAGAAGATCATAAAAACTAATGTAAGGCAGTATAATATGTATAATATAATTATTCTTATGAAACGATATCTGTTTGTATCTGTTTTATTTCAGTCATGCAGTTGAGTTGCAAGGTGGGAAACAATTTCAAAGTAGAGATACTGTATACATATTCAACACTGCAGGATCTGTGATTTTTTATTTCCACAATTTGTTTCCTATCTAGTTCAGAATACCAACTATAGAATCACCATTCTGCTCATACTGTTTCTTTTTATTTCTCTTTTAGTTTGGAAATTATACTATTTTGCTGATGATATTCCTCAACAGGGGGTTTTGTTGGACAGATTACTAATAACTTGCACTATTTAAAACATTCTTAATGTTCAACATTGTCTCTAAAGCTAATGGTTAAGAAGTTATAATAATTTTAGTAATTATTATAGCCATAAAAGTATAATCATTACCACATATGACTTCTGCTTATAAATCCTATGATAGGACTTAAATCTGTCAGCTCTATGAATCATGTTCTACGCATGAAAGTTGCTCTGTAATTTCACTGAATCCTTATTTCCTAAATTGTTGATAATAATTTTAATTTCACCTCTGCAATTAAAGATTAAGATAGCCATCTTTAGAATCCTGTGAAATTTTTCTAAGGCAAAATATGTTATAGTGAGTAAGTCAGAATAAATGTATTGTTTTTTACATTCGACACTGCATGCTTTTGGTTAAAACACATCTGAGGAATTCCCTGTGACCATGTATTCCCCTCTTTAACATCTTTAACCGAAATAAAAAATAAACAGGCAATTCCATGGCTGGTCTTTGGTATTTGACAGGACTCAGAAAGTTCTTCATACAGTACTTGCCGTCAGCAATGTTCTGTAGGTATAGCTGTTTAAACCTGAGTTCTGTTCTTGGTAACCTGTACATGAAAATACTGTAGTAATGCCCTGTTACAAAGAGGTGTTTTCCGACATTTTTTTAATTGGTCCATAAACCATGTTAAATTAAAGTATTGAAGCAAAACTGGCGCTTGTGAAATGTACTCAATTGTCCTTTAAGGATTTGGGCACGTGATGCTGAGATCAATCGCTAGGGCCGTTCTGCTTGAACGAGTTTGCTTTCTTCTCAAGTTAACACAGCGCTTTCTATCAACCCTCACAATTTCCTAAGTAAACGATACCTTTAAACGATAATATTGCTAATAAAATAAATAATAAAAATAATGTATTTTGATGTAAGAGGTAAGTAAACGTTTGTATATCAAATAACCACCACATCATTCAAAAACGTATATTTAAATCATCCAAATATATGCAATTTAAGATTTTATTTCAGAAAATAAGGACATTTAAAATTGCAGAATAGCTTTGCTTTTTAAAGCAAAATTCTACGTCTTGCTGTTAGGAGAATGTAATTACCTATCCAATGATTTAAGATGTTAAAGGAATTTATACATAAATTCTGCATGCAAAAACACCCAACAAACGCCGCTAATTGATATGTGTGAATGTGTTCATCCATACAATACATTGAGACGATTTCTAACGTCATAAGCAATAATCGGAAACTGACAAGTAAATTAATCCGGTTTAATTAATATACTAACGAAGAACACATGTCCATGTTTTTTATACATGCAGGTTATTTATACGAATCATTACTGATCAGCGTGTCGCTGAAACTGTTTTGAAGTAATACGATATGAATGTATCTTCAAAGACAGTTCGTTAAAAAGTTATGACGAAAAATATAAATACTTTGTATCTGGTTTATGTACCATATTCTTCAACATTCCGAATTTGGTACATCAAATATTTGTTCTTGAGTATTCAAAATATCTGTTAACTAACATCACCAAAATCAATAAAACATCTCAAATGATTATTCTTTTAGTGTATATAACAAATGCTATTTTTTCTGTTTAAAATGGATATTGAAGCGTGTGCGCGCGCACGAACGCTCAATCGGTTCACATACAGTAACTTCTAAACAGAATAATACTTCGGGGCAATCATGTACATTTCAAACTAAGTTTACTGCGGTTTGTTTTTCCCAAAAAGCTCAGAAAATGGATATTCTTGTAGTAAACCCGATGAATAGGACAATCCTAACATTTAAATTCAGTGGGGCACCAAAACACAAGCAGAAGTTTGAGTCGAGGTGCCTTAATGCTTTTTTCTTCTACAGTACAGTTGGGTCTGTGCGCTATTATCTCTTCAGAGTCAAATACAATAACTGGAGGATTAGAGGCTGTCATCACCGGCTAAAAATAAAATATAGCAGCTTACCTATTGGTCTGCTGTTGTCCAGCCTGGGAAAAAACAAGGCCTTTTCACGAGAAGAAAATTTGTAGTCTTGATCTACAGAATAGAGGCCACTAGTATAGCGCCTGGAGACACTTTTGTCACCTTGGTTGTCCCCAATGACTTGCATGATGAGGTCTAGAAGTGTTCTTCTTTCTTTCTGCCTGGCTTCCTTGCTGTCCATACATTGGCCCGAGGTGACCAGCAGAAAGATAATGCTCAACAGTACGTGCCATTTCTTTTCAGCCCGCATCGCTTAAGATCTGCATATGCAAAGAGACAAAACAATATGTGTAATTATACATACAGCTTCCTGCAACAGATCCACACTCCCTATCTTTTTCTTTCTACATGGCCAGTCTACCTTAATCGACTGAGCTGACTCTCCTCCCACATCACTGGTTCCATTCCATAACTAACATCTCTTTAGGGCGCATTTATAGCAACGGATTAGAAAAAAGGTTTTACCAAAGCCGCACACAGCAATCCGGGGTTTAGTTCAGATGTACTAAGCACTCATCCTCATATTATATGAGTGACTTCATCCAGCCTTGCCTGTATGCTGTATATATTTGTGTTTTCAGAAGATCTGTAGTTGCCTATAAACTTGAACCCACTCCTTTAAAGTGGGGATGGTTATGTCAGTTCGCTGGCGATACTGTACGTATTCTCTAGAACTATCTTGTACTTAAAAATCTAAATTACTGTATTAATATTTCTCATTAGAAATTTAAGCGCTGTGTTTTAGAAGTCGTCTTTGGTGAACTGACGTTTCACACAGTTTCTAGTTTGCCTTCTGTTGTTGGTCATTAAATTGTACTGAGTATAAAACCTTAACCTTTTAAAAAAATACATTCCTTGCATACAGTATGCGCTGAATCAATTCCATCAACGCTCCTTCAAACTTTCAAGATAGAAGTATTTAGCTATTCCATGATAACCGTTAGCAGCACTGTGCTAAGGAATAGGTAATTATTGCTAAATTATATTATTAGGATAGAGGTGGTTTTGATATTATCCTTATAGAGCTGAAATACGTTTTTGTCCCCAGTCATCATTGGATACGTTCTCAAGCTGTTTACAAGAGTAACTATTTCAGTAAAACTGTTAGCTACAGTTATGATTATATTGCGCCCCAGGTAGTGGAAAAGCACGCCTGTGTAAAACACTTACAGCATTTATTGCAGTTGTTTGCAGACAAAAAACCTGGAAACGATAAAGGATGCACTAATGTGTACGGCAGTTAAAAACAACCCAAAAAAAAAGTGATGCAGATGTTTAGAATGACCGAGGTGGACGAGAATATGATGTGGTACGAAGTGAAACTTTGGTGTTTCATCAGTTGCTAAAAATGTTGGGAATAAACAGAGGTAAACAGACACATAGTTTAAGAAATAGTCGAATGTTTTTAAATAATATCGTACAATACAAAAGCTGATTTTATGTAAAACTTACAATTTATGCTCTCGATGAATGCTTACGCTCTGTGAAGTCTGGACAAAGTTGATACTACAGAAAAACTCCTCGTGTAGCCGATTTTGTTTTTGATGCAGGTAACAGCCTGTGGAAGGATGTCTCGTCTTGTGTCTTGTTGGCTACCATGCGGCTCAGTTATATATGTTCAGCAAGAGCAAGTTCAGTTTAATACAGTCGACTTTGGGTGGGTGGCAAGCAGTCAAGACATGTTTCGTTTACTTCAGCTCGTGGTTGCTCCCTTTAGCACATGCCCCTCCTTTCTGCAGTGCATCATCGTTGGAGTCGCAATTCCGAATTGGTTCTATTCTCTTGAAACAGAAAATCCCACTTGTTCAGTAAAGAACTAGTTAGTTTATGTTAGGTAGTCTGAACTGGCACCACTCGTCTCGGAAACTCCAATTTAAACAACTGAAAACACTAAGGACTGTTCTCTGGATCGCCAGTTCCCGAAGACCTGTTCAGATGGAGATGCCTCCGACTACTGTGGCTTACTTTGTTGTGCGCCTGACCGGTTAAAGTAGTCAGTCAGCTGATGAATTGTACGGAGATGTCCTGAAAGTCTTGTGACTACCCCCTTGCAAATATCTGAATTTACGATGGGTTTCTTTTTTTTCAGGTAGTGAAATACTATTTGCGCAGCAAAATTCGTATTATTGACTGTCTGCAAAGGTTAAATATTTCATATTTGACTATTGTCTTACTGCGAGCTGTAAGACAGTGCTGACTTGGGTACATTCACAGGTAAACGCGATCACGCTTTGTCGTTCAGCTATTCTGTTTCAAAAGTACAGGTAGTTGAGGGAATTTGTTTGCTAAAGGTCTGCCTGAGGGCTGAAGTTTTATTTATCGACATAATTATATAAATTAAATTAAAAGTGTTAAGTGCTGGTAGGTTGAACTACACAATTGTGTAGCATATACAGTATGTTTTAAAATATGTTAAGGCATTATGTGTTTTATGTGTAGCTATCAAGGTATTTATTAAAGTGATACAAGCTTTAATAAAAGTGATTTGATTACAAGCGTTACGTATTTTTGCTTGATCTTCTTGCAGCATTCCGTTTAAAGCGATAGATAATCTCAGGTCAGCACGAAAACTGCAGTCGCAGCACAATAAAATAATAAGAAATCATTGTGAATTTTAGTGTTACCAACGCTTTAGCCATTATGTATACATATGTCAATCTCAAATGGACCTGTGGAATTTTAATTAAATTGGTTTAATTAAACCTTGATTGGACGAACTTAGCCCTTCACTCAGGTGTAAGCTTTTTCTGTTAACTTAAAGAGAGAAATCCTGCTTTTTGATTCCGACGATTGGAGTTAGGAACCGATGTACTCTTTTAGTCCAAACAAGAAGAACACGTATAGTATACTGTAGCTCAGGAGCTGTGCTGCGAAGAAGAAAAAACAATTGTTCTTGTCATTAGTCTTTAGCTAAGTTTTATTTGTTAATATAATTGTATTACCTTTGTGGGGAGACCATAAAATTAACATTTACTATAGTTTAAAAACGAACAGTGGTAATATATAATTCGTATTGTGTTTTACTTGCACATAAAAGCTGTACACCTGTAACAGGGTAAAGTACAATACCAAAAAATGAAAACCAGGTGGAAGAAAGAGGAGAAAAAATACTTTTTAAGATTGTGTCTTACATTTTTCTTAAGAGTAATACTATTCTGAACAAATATTACCAACCGCAACCCCCAACTGGTAAGACAGTATTACTTACAGAGGGGTTTTATAATCTGTCTTAAGTGACCAGTTAGTCAAATTCCATAGTGTTTACACTGCACAGGAAATGAGAGAACTCCAGTAAAACTGAACACTATTTATACTTAGTGTCAATGCTGTGCCTCATTCTGCACCAAAGTAAGCATGACGTCTAGCATGCCATGATGTGACCCCATCATTTTTACGTTTGGTACCGCTGACAGGGAATCTTGCTACAGTATATAGCCCCAGCCACCAATAAGGAGGGACAGTAACTAGAGCACCATTCCTTTAGGAATGCTAGGTTGTTTCTTGTAGATTATTATTTCTGCATTTTTATGTTTCTTTTTTATTTAGCACCCTTGTGGGAGAGTAAAACAGGAGATGTCTGAAAAAAAAAGGAAGATTCCTGAAAAAAGAGATGTATTTTATTTTCTTTTTTAATCTATTGTATAAAACCCAATGTACAACTAAAATAGAAGACTCTGAATGTCTTTAGTTTCCATATTCATTCATGCCCATCTTGTTATATTTATGGTCCCAGACTGTGCCCTGCTGAAGTTACTTTCCTAATTGATTTTTGCAAAACCTGAATGTGTGAGTACAGTAAGTATTTTAAATATTGTAAGTGACACTGCTTAGCCAAGTGAAATGCTGGGGAGGGTTGCTGGTTTGTGTTGCCAATCCTGTTGTTAACGTGCGTTGGTGTCTGTGATATTTGATTCGGTTCAGATGCATTATGAGTATTAGAAAAGGCACCTGTCACGGACGTCCAAAGGGACTAACCGTGGGGAGCAGGAGAGCAGAAAAAGACCCATATGCGTAGCGGCGAGACGGGAAAAAGGCCCGGGCTCATTAGTGCAAAGAGTTCAGGAATGCCGTATAGAAACCTATGCCCTCAGGGAGCGGACGTGGGGCGCCCTGGTGCTAGGCGGGTCTCAGGACATCCGAACATCAATGCTGAGCGAGGACTGAGTGCAAGACCCGGAAATATATAGCCCAAGGGAAAGAGAGGGACAGGAAGGACAGCAGACCGGAAACTAGGACAGGACAGAGAAGGAGCGCCCTCTGGCTGCAGAGGGCGTGACACACCTTGTGTTACCCTTGGCCTCCGACCCTCTAACCTGACCTAGCCTTCCCTCCTGTGCCCACACTACAATGTTCTATGGCCCCGAAATGAGTAGCTGTAAAGTGTTGTGTTTTTATAAAAAAAAAGAGAGCAACTGTTTGTTGTGTTCTTGCTATAACCAGACAGACTGGGGAATTCATCCCATTGCTATCTGAAACCTGGACCTTTACTGGCAAAAAAAATGACCACACTCAACAAAGCAGAGAATATTTGGGTAAAGGAACATCAGAGAAACAGAGCTCAAAGTGCTAAACGAAAAAGTCTCTATAGATATCTATCATCTCCACTGTCTGCAGAATTGAAAGGTGTTGTCTCTCAATCACCCAGAGGTGGGCCTGCAACAGAAAGCCAGATTTAGATTGAATGTGTGAGCAGTGTCCGCTTCTTTCAAGAATCCATTATTCGACCTCACAAAGCGAAACTTAGCTTTTAATTTATTAGTGGAGACTCCTCCCAGTCTCTTTCTTTCTCTGTCCCCAGGACTGAAGAGCAGGAGTGCCAAGGGTGTTCACCCTCTTACAAACCACAGCTCCAGCAGTTCAGGTCTGTTGCGCTGAGTGTCTTTTGCTGTGTCAAAACCAGTGAATGTAAGGGAAAAGAGGTGTGTACAGTTCTCAGAATTTAGTATTAATCTTAGAGAGCAGAACATCCTATAGAACAGTGGTTTTCAACCTGTGAAACATGAGGACATTGATATATGGGCTAATCATTTTATTTAAACATTTAAAAAATTATTTCAATTGCTATTTGTGAAATTATCTTACGTCAAGGAAAATTCATTTTTACTTTAAAAAATAGTGAAACAGGTTGAAGGCAGTGTGATACAAATTCACATTTCAACTTAAGTTCATTTAATTTAAGTGTTTGCCTCAAACATGTTCAGCGTGAATTCTGAAGTTGCATATTTGCCTTATAAAATTATAAAACAAGTTTTGAAATTCCGTGGAAGAAAAAGAGCACCACAAGTCACTTTCAATATGTTATGGTAGTTATTTATCATCATCTTATCAAAAGTGCATAAAATCCAGGCTGCCACACCTAGGGGGCTGAAAATGGAAAGAGGATACACAGAGCAAAGTTAATTAATGAAAGATGTCTTGGGCAATTGTCAATTGTTAGTTCCAAATTGTATCATGGATCATCACAGATTACAACGTGTAATCCACTGAAATGGAGTCACTGAAATGACCACTGCTTGGTAGTTTCAAATTGTGCTACAAAGTTGTATGCTTCACAGTGAGGGAACAAGTAAAGGTTTATTCCGTGCTGAAGAGAGAAGAAAAGAAACACAATGTTTCTGCTGTCTAGCCCTTTTCAGGTGTGAGAAAGAGAGGAAAGTCAGCAGCTGATAAAGCATGGATAAACAGCTGAAACGTTGTCTCTTTTCTTCTCTTTTCAGCATGGAATAAACTTTTACTTGTTCCTTTGCAGCCTATGCATGCTGACACAGCTACCTACTTGAACTGCTTCACAGTGACTTTGGAATGTAAATTTGACATTACATCTAGTATGAAAGAAACATTTCAGATTCCATGACACACGGAGACTATTTCTATTTGCACTGAAAACCAAATATTGTACACTTTAATTTAGAATTTATAGTAAAGGCATCTCTCTCCCCCATTCCCATAATGACAAGGTTACGTTCCGTTTTTACCTGAAAAACCATGAAATATTTCTATGCTAAAAATGTAATGGGGATATATTCCTGAGAAGGAATCTGATACATACTGTATAACTCTTAAATATGGAATACCATAAATACAACTTAAAATGAATCACCACAGACTTAAATGTGTTGATTAAATGATTGTTCCAGCTTGTGTTCTTTCTGCTTGGAGACATGTTCTTCCTGTGTCTGAGTAGGTTTCTACCAGGAACACTGGTTTGCTCAATGCCTAAACACACACTGTTGAGGTTAACTGGTGTTTCTAAATTGTCACTAGTGTGTCCTTTGTTTCCTTGTACAGTTTCAGTTGTAGTGCCCCATGACCATTAATTTGAATAAGCATCTATTGCAAATGGGTTAATGAAAACCTACCATACAACGTGGTGAGAGGGGATAAAAGTGCAAGCAAACATACATACTGTATCTGTGGTAAAAGGTATTTTTAAATATCTCAGAATTGTAACCAAAGCCAGGGTCAGACAACGTAGGATTTCAAACTGGGTAACAGAGCGAAAGAAAGAGAAAATCCAGAGGCAAGTTCAGTGAACAGGCAGGGTCTAAATACTGTACGAAGCTCATTTCATTCAAGGTCATGGGAAGCAGGAGTCAAAACACAGACAAGACGATCAAATTCAAGTGAGATTGGAGAGGTGTGGTCAAAGACAAAGGTAAGTAAGTCGTGGAAAACAAGCAAGCAATGAGCAAAGAAATGGCTTGATGACTGAGCAAGGGATGCTATTACTGTTGGGCTTTATTACTTGCTGGTACAAGGTAATTATCGGCTTAATAGTGGTCTGGTGGTTTCAATAACCATCCTGCTTCCATTACCACGGTAACGTTGCCAGTTGCCAAGGTAGTAATGCTGTGCAAGCTGGCCTTAACATGGATAAGAAAAGATGTTTTATTAATAAAGTACTGTATTCTATATATTATTCAAATAGTGTCCTATTTTAGAGTGGTGTGGTGGTGCAATAGTTATAA